TATTTAATATAGCTGTAATCACGTCGTATGGGTGAAAGACTTTGCTTTGCATGCAACAAGAAAACCCCGCTCAACCTGGCTTCGGCAGGGGTGGGGATTTGCTTGCCTATGTAGCCATGAATGTCTCAAGGTAGAGCAAGCTTCAGCCAAGGTAACACAAGGGTTACAGCGCACCGGGCTTGAGCTGCTGTTCACTGCGCATCTCCCTCCTTCACTCTCCAAGGGAGATTGCCTTTTTTCTCGGACTGGTTTCTCTCACTTCTCTTGGCTCCCAGAGGGGTTAGCATCTTCCAAGTTGGCAGACAACGCCCCCGGAGCTGCTGCAGCAAAGGGCACAGCTGGGGAAGTCTGGGTTGGTAACAGGAGGGAGAGCTCTGCAGGGGAGATCCAGCCAGCGTCTTGTTTTTGTGAATAGCGTTTTATTGGCACACAGTCCTACCCGTTCCTCTGCACAGGACTTAGGGTTGCTTTCCCACTAATGGCAGGTGTGAGTAGGTAGAGTGTAAACCTTGTGTCACGCAAAGCGTCAGCTACTTACTGTGTGGCCTCTGTTGAGGAGGATAGCTGACCTGTGAAAACAGATGATGAGGGAATAATTCTTTGAGGTCACAGCCCTGAACCCACTGTATTCTCACCAAAAACAGTGAGTTCACTTTTGCTATTTCTTTTTTTTTTTCCCAGCTCCAGAGCACACAGAGATTGTTCACAGGCGATGATAGCAAGTAGTTTCTGAAAGCCAAGAAGCAGGCTTGCGGACGTTTGAGGATGGACGTGAGTCTTCGCAGTAGCTGAGAGCTGTAGCTGTAACTATAGCTAGCGAAGTAGACTCACGGGCGACTGCTCACTCGTAAAAACCGCAGGAGCTGGAGGCTGGATGCTGTGTCGTCACGTTATGTAGGCGAGTGTTTCCAGATCTCCCAAGATGTGTGCTGTGATGGTTCCTACTCCCACACGAAGCACGCAGAGTTGGAGAAATGACTTCGGCTCACATAGTTTTTATTGGTGCAGCCCTAGCTGATGGCCAGGCCTTGGGGCTCCTGGGTTGGCAGAGTTTGTCAGCATGAGAGGCTGCCACTCTGCCCCAGAGTTCAAACCGAGCACACACAGCAAGAGGTGAAGAATGACCTGCTCTGGGGATGTGGCTCAGTCCTCAAAATGAAACCCCTGAGATGCACAATGAAAGAGCCGAGGTGACCCCAGGTGACCGGACGCAAGACACAGAAGCAGTCAGGCACAGCCGCCCCTTGCTGAGGATGGGAGCGAGAGCCCGGTGAGGAGGGTGCTGGAGGTAACAGGTGAACCTCACTGCTGCCGGTGAATGAGCCCCTGGAGCTCTAGCCCTGGTGTTGCCAGATTCGTTGCCAGCTCAGCTGGAGGAGGATGCCGTGTGCTCGCTCAGCCAGGGAGATTGCAGGCTAAGCCTCCAAACTAAGGATCGCCGGTGGCGGGGGGCGCCCCGTTGTTATAATCCAGTGTTGACTGAATGTGTGTGAGCGCCAGGCATTCTTTGTGGATGTGCGTGACGTCTGTAAATGTCCTACAGATGGAACTTTGTGTGCATTTTGTTGCATAATTAAAATGCATCATTTCAGAGGCTTGGGAGTATAATGTGATCCATAGGCCATACCGTGCACGCGCTGCTGCTTCAGTTGTCTTTTTTGCAGTCTTAGTAAGACGCCTTCCAAGGCAGCTGAAGAAGGAATCTGCCACAGCCTCGTCTCTGGGGAACCAGGTGGACTGACCACTGGACCTGGGGGGGCTTCCCTGCCAACGACAGCTGTGGCAGTCCCACCCCGGGTGGCCTGCCGCATTCCCTCACTATGGTATCTCTATCAGTTACTGAAGTGCTACAAGGCTCCCCTGTGTGAGTGTCAGAGTGCCTGAGCATAGTGTCAGCACTGGCTGGCAGACTGAGTGGGAATCTTGCAACAGAGAATGGAGCCGGGCACGCCATATAAGAAGAAAAGTGGGGGCCAGTGCTGAGGCATAGTGGATAAAACCACTTCCTATCCAGCTCTCTGCTATGGCCTGGGAAAGCAGGGAAGATGGCCCCAGCCCTTGGGCCCCTGCACCCACATGGGAGACCCGGAGGAAGCTTTTGGCTCCTGGCTTCGGATTGGCGCAGCTCCAGCCATTGTGGCCGATTGGAGGAGTGAACCAGGGGATGGAAGATCTCTCTCTCTCTGCCTCTCCTCTCTTTGTGTGTATCTGACTTTCAAGTAAAATAAATATATCTTTAAAAAAATAGAAAAATAAGTAAAAGCGTTTACTGGGGCAGCTTTCACACAGCATCCCAGAGCAGGGTGGCAGGTGGTCTGGGCAGAGCTGCTGAGTGCAAGAGGCAAGGTTCCGGGCTTCTGCACCTCACAGGGGAGCTGGGGTGGGAACTGGTGTCTAGTATTCCTTCCCTGTGCCTCAGGAGGAGCCCTATGGCCATCTTGCAGCGTGCTCTGCCTTATCTGCCTTTGAACTTGATGGTTTCAAGTAGCCTGACAGGTGAGAGAGCGTCAGACCTGGTGGGTGACCCCGTGGTTTGCTGTGGCGCACAGAGCTGAGCTGTAAGTAGCACACATGATCAAGTCGAATGTGCACTAGACGGGGGCAGGCTCTGTGCTGGAGCAGGGGTCCCAGTGGGCCGGGGCCAGGCCAAGGGTGTGAGCTATGCGTGGTGAGGGCTGACGTGTGAAGCGGGCTGGTTCAGGGAGGTCCCTGAGACCTGGCCAAGAAGCCTGGCTCTACCCCGGCTGTTCGCAGGGAAGCAGTGTCGGTTTGTTTGTTTGTTTTTAAAGATGTGTTTATTTATTTGGCAGAGTAACAGAGAGAGAGGGAGAGAGATCTTTCATCCACTGGTTCACTCCACAGATGGCCACAATGACCAGGGCTGGGCCAGGCTGGAGCCAGGAGCCAGGAGCTATGGGTTTCTGAACATGGTCGTGGTATATGTTGCTTGTCCTGCATTTTGTGGGTTGCCCTGTCTATCGGGTCATGTGAGGAGGCTCTTGGAGGAAGGAGAATTCCTTGATCTCAGAGCAGGAGGACAGCATCACAGGTCAGTTCCAGGCTTCCAAGAAGGCTGACTTGTGAAATAACAAAGCCAAAGTCAGTGGTTTTACTGTTTAGAAAAGCCCAGGCATGGATTCCATGGGCAGCTGTAAATGAGTTCATCGTTGTTGAACCAGTGTCATGACTGGGAAGATGCATGCTTTGTGTGGCCCTGGGTCCTGGGACTGCAGCCACTGGGAAAGCCATGTTCTTCCTCCACACACTCGCACGTCGCTTCTCACACCAGGTGTGCAGGCTTGTCCTACACCGAGCAGTTCTCCGGCTCTCCAGACCCCAGCTGGGTGTCCCTCCCTCCCTCTGTGTAACTCTTTCAACTAAATAAGTCAGTCTCGAAAAAGCATCTATAAAATAGGAATTTTCAAAAAGCAAAACAAATGGATATTAATATTGATGCAAGTATATTAGTACTTCGAAGGGCAGTGTTGTTAACAGTCAGGAAGAGCCTTAACAAGTACCCAGGAGCTTCCTGAATCTGTAGATGAACACCCATGACCTGTGGAGCGACTTGTCTGAGGTTCTCTGGTTAGTGGCCAGAACTTCTTTGAGCACCTACTATGCACCAGACGTTATTTTAGGTGCCAGATTTGCAGCTACAAGTAAAGCCCTGGTCCATGTTCTTTTGGAGTTTAAACATCAGTGAAGAGGCAGATAGTAATCTCGGGAATAAATCAACAAGAGCACTTTCAGCAGTGACGAGCCCTTTGACAGTTAGATGGAGAGATGGCATGGGGGTCCTGAAGAGACCACCTCATGGCCGAGACCTTGCTGGTGAGAAGGAGCAGCCTGTGAGGTGGGTAGAATCTGGCGGGGGCACAGAGGCCTTGGCACACCACAGGGCCACCAAAGAAAATGCCAGTTCTTCAGTTCGTTGAAGGTTCTGCCGTCACCTTAGCAGGTTTTCAGAGAGAAAGTGAACACTATTAGTGATGTTCTGTAAGTAGGCATTGTGTGTCTAAACCATAATATGCAGCACATTATCTTGTTAGAAAGAAATCTAGGAGGAGCATCCGGCTTCACAGGGCTTCTCCATCGTGAAGGTGGCCGCCCAAGCCTCCGCCATTGCACTGTGATCTGTCCAGGGAGAAGTAGGGAGGTAGCAGTTTGACTGAAATGGGATTCCGGTCAAGATCTTGTCTTTCTAAACAGTTCTCAGCCATGCAAATACAGGGCTGTAGTTTTAGAGTTTACCCACCACACACGTGGGTGTTTAATTGTATTCTATTTACACAATAGAAGAAAGGCGATGTGTTTGTTCTCAGCAGTGACTCTAAGTCTGCCCTGGAAATAGGTGAGAAGAGCTGAGGTTGCATTAAGGGAGTGAGAGTGCGCCATGCCTTTTTCTCTTTTCAAAATAAAACTTGCCTAAGTCTACTGGAATTGAATGCTGAGAATCCAGGGCCCCAGTCCGTCGTCGTTCTTTGTCCTGTGATCATTTAAGGAGCCCCATGAGATGGATTACTACATTCCTGCTGTTGACAGTAATGGGGCAAATATATTTTGTTGGAAATACTATTTCCACCTATTCTTGGCAAGTATTTTGCCCAGATTATATGGACTTCACATTTTCTTGGAAGAGAGAAAAATATAGCCTTAAGTAGTCGTGTATAAAGTCGGGAGAAGACAGCTGGACAAGGACAGTTTTTTATAGAGCAGGTCTAATGCAGATCCTGGATCCTTTAAGACATTTTCAAAGGAGTTTAGAATGATCATAAAATTCTTTCCAGTCCCAATACAATAACATTCCAGAAACTGTAGAGGCAAGAAGAGGATAGATGACTGCTAAAACAACAACCACCACCATGACAACTAGGGTAAAGTCATAGCCTCAAGTGTGTGAAAACCCACGTGGCCCTATTTCCTCCCAGGAGGTGAGGACTTGCACCCAGTCAGTAGAAGTGACAGCCGGGGGCGGGGGTGGGGTGGGGTAGGCAGTGGGTGTGTACTGTTTGCTCCTCACGAACCCAACAGCACAAGGAGCCTTGACTCTCGCAAAGCAGAGGATTTTCTACAAGGTGAGAGTTGGGGGTCATCCCTGGAGCATAACTGCACTGCAGAAGCCTCATCTCAGCAGCGCCCCAGCCTGAGGATGAACCACGAGGGGCTGGAGGTGTTCAGCCAGCCTCACTTGCCAGGTGAGCTACGGAGAAGGCAGCATCCCGGTGGAGCGATCCGGACTTCCTAGGCATTGTCCTGGGGCCCGGTGTGGGTGCTGTGGCAGTTCCCGTCTCCTGCTCTACATCATGCCTCGTTTTGCTGTGGAGAAGGGAGAGTGTTACCTCTTCAGCCACGGTGGAGGAGCTCGGAGGGTCCTCTTGAACAGGTGGGTCTTGTCTGGGCTGCATCAGCCCCGAGTAGAGAGAGCACCCCCCGGGGAAGCCAGCAGCAGCAGCACCTGGCACTGTGCTGGTTCTGACCTGGGCCGGCTTTGGGGTTGGTTAGGTGACTAGATCAGACTGCACTCAATCAGGTTTGAAAGTGACCAGAGGTGCTGGCTTTGACAGCACCTATACTAAAATTGGAACGACAGTGACCAGAGAACTTTATTATTTAAGACATCACAGAGCTCTATAAGGTGGATTGAAGGAGTTTAGTAGTCAGAGAAACAGAATAACATTGGTTTGCAGGTCAACCAAGAAGGTGGTTCCATGAGCTGAGCACACAGGGAGACTGCGTGTCCCTGGGGTTCCAAGAACCAGGAGGCCTACTGCTAATGACAGTGGTAGCTTCTGTTGAACTTGCTTTCTCTCTAAGACAGTGCCTGTGAAGGGCTTAGCACTGTGTCCGGTACAGTAGATTCTTTCAATAAATAAGAGTATTATTATGCTAGTTATCTGTAATGTTTAAGGTATATCCAACCAGGCTTGCAGCAACTCACCAAACCAGTTCCAAGCCCCTGTAGATTTAGCTCTGGAACCATCCTTCCCAGGATCAGGGGTGGTAGGGCCCTGTCTTGGTCTGTTTCCTATTGTTATAACAGAATACCCACACCAGGAAGTTTACAAAGATCAGGAAGTTTACAAAGATCAGGAAGTTTACAAAGAACAGACATTTCTTTGGCTCACAGTTCTGGAGAGTGGGAAGCACAGAGCATGGCCCCCAGTCTTGCTGCATCGCAGCACGGCAGAGGATATCATGGGATGAGCAAGTGGGCTAGCTCAGGTCTCTCTCGCCTTCTTCGCAGAGCCGTTGATGACATCACAGAATCCTCACCGTCATGACCTCATCCAATCTTAATTACTTCCTATAGATCCCATCCCTTAATACAATTCACATAGGAATTGGGGGTTAGTTTCCAACACACAAACTTTTGGGGAACGCCTTCAGCTCACAACAGACCTTGGTTGGCTGTGGCTTCCTGGGAAGACATGATAGAAGGGATGGGTTGGGGGCCCGGGAGCCACTGGGCAGGCTGATGAGGCCATCGTGACTCATCACTGCCGGTGGTGGGACGAGTTACTAACCTCTTTCGACTTCAGTTGTCTAATGTTTAAAAATCCAAAAATAACACCTAACCATTTTGGGGGTTTAATGCCTGCTTAATTGGCTCATGGCGATGCATAATGGAAATTCAACCCATTTTCTTCCATCCTCTTAGCTCACCTACAGTGCTTCTCTCCTTTTCATTCTTAAACTCTCTGTACAGGAGCCTCGCATCATTAAACTTCCCTTCCTTGGGTCCTGTTTCCTTCACTTAGCCTATTAAAATAATTTCTAATAGTGTAGAAATGAATAATAATTGCTTGGAGAGTATCTTTTAAATAAAATATTTCATTTATTTGACATGTGTGTGTGGGGAGGTTGCACTTTGATTTTCTGGTTCATTCCTTAAATGTCCAAAACTGACTGGGTTGAAGCCAAGGCTGGGAGCCAGCAACTCAGTTCAAGTCTGGCATGTGGGTGGCAGGAACTCAAGTACGTGAGCTATTACATCTGCCTCGCAGGGTCTGCATTAGCAGGAAGCTGGAATTAGGAAGTGGAGGTAGGTACCCAGGTACCAGATGTGGGATGAGAGAATCTTAACCACTATGACAAATGTCTTCCCCTAAATATTAACTTTTGTTTTTTCTTTTAAAATTCTTGTTTATTTGAAAGGCAGAGTGATGGAGGGAAAGGGGGAGAGAGGGTGGGGGAGAGGAAGAGAGGGAGAGAGAGAGAAAGAGTTGTTTTTCATCCACTGGCTCATTTCCAAAATGCTTGCAACCACCAAGCCTGAACCAGCCAAAGCCAGGAGCCAGGAACTCCATTCAGGTCCCCCTTGAGTATACTCAGGCCATCGTTTGTTGCCTCCCAGGCACATTAGCAGGAAGCTAGATCAGAAGTGAAGGCAGGCCTCAATCCTGGGCACTCCAGTGCCGGATGTGTGTGTCCTAAGTGGCAGCTTAAGCTGCTGTGTCGCAAGCCTGACCCTGAAAGTTACCTTTGAACAGAGGAATTTGGGAGATGGCAAGCAGAGGAGAAATCTCAGACCCTGAACCTCCCTCTGTGATAACCTCTGGGAGAAGTTGAGGGCTGAAGAACCGCACAAAACACCCCTACTAGGCTGGCGCTCGACTGAAGACAAGATACTCTCCTTTCCAAGACGGGCATTGAGCTCTGACAGCTGATGGGGCAGGTGAGGGAGCCACCATCCGGGACGGCCACCGGCTCTGCACTCCCTTGTGCCTGGCACTAAATGGAAGCGCACTATGTCCTTGTAACATCTTGAAAGGAAGCTGTCCTCAGCTGAGTGACCCAGACCAGACAACTTCAGAGTAATTCCTCATTCTGGATATACCCCTATTGAAGACGGTCCTGGAGGGACTTAAGAAACGTGTGTGGGTGAAAAGAAAGAACATGATCGCTTTGTGGAGTAAAAGATGAAAGGAGAATTCACACACTTTAAATGCTTAGCACTGTCTTTGAGCGCCTTCTCTCCATGGCCTGCTAGTTAATACCCCTTTCTATTAGATCAGCACACAGCTCCTTCCCACAAATCTGCTGGGTGCTCCCTGGGTAACAAGAGGTCGGCGAGGAATGTGCGTTCACATCCTTTAATCCGGAGCTGGCTTTTGGCAGTGTTTGTGTGGACTTAACTTTAATTAATTGACTTCCTAGCGATAGAGCTCACAGTTTCTGTTTCATGGATTTTAGAAAGTTGGAATTGTTTTTTCCAGGAACTTTGAAGTCCTCTAGATCCCCTGGCCTGTGGAGGCAGGGATCATGCTGTGGCTGGCTTGGTCTCTCAGACAGTCTCTTAGCACAGTAATCACACTGCGAGTCAAGCTTGCACAAGGCTGAAGGTCCTAAGGGCAGAGGGGTACTGGGTGATGAATTGGATGGAAGTAAAAAACCCTGACCAAGTGGTGGCCTGCCAACCCCCCATCTCTTCTTCAGGAAGCCTCCTGGTATCTTCCCACTACATCACACAATTTCAGTACATGATTGAGTCATTTTTTTTTTTTTTTTGACAGGCAGAGTGGACAGAGAGAGAGAGACAGAGAGAAAGGTCTTCCTTTGCCGTTGGTTCACCCTCCAGTGGCCGCCGGGACCGGCGCACCGCGCTGATCCGAAGCCAGGAGCCAGGTACTTATCCTGGTCTCCCATGGGGTGCAGGGCCCAAGCACTTGGGCCATCCTCCACTGCACTCCCTGGCCACAGCAGAGAGCTGGCCTGGAAGAGGGGCAACTGGGACAGAATCCGGCGCCCCAACCGGGACTAGAACCCAGGGTGCCGGCGCCGCAAGGCGGAGGATTAAGCCTAGTGAGCCACAGCGCCGGCTGGTTGAGTCATCTTGAAGAAGCCTCAGCACCATCTCCTTCTCAGCCGCTATCCAGGGGCTCTGAGCCCAGCCCCATCCACCATCCCTTAATCCGCAAGGTGAATGTGACCTCCTGCTGGCAGCACAGGTTACAGGAGGGGAGGTTACTGCAGAATCCAGGCGTGTGTGATCTTGTTGGAGAAGCAGCGGGTGGGCTAGCCTGGCTCTCGCTGTGGATGGCCAGGGCACCGGCTAGGGAAGAAGATGCCCTGAGCGCGAAGTGACTCATGCTGCGTGAGTTTCACAAAGTGAGTTCTGGATCTGCAATTGCTCCCAGGGGTGTTGGTCTGTGTGCGAGGCGAGGGGCAGAAGGGAATTGAGGATCAAGCTCCTGGAAAGGCAAGGCCTGGAATCCCAGCTTCCGGAGCTGGCATTGATGGAAGACCACACCTGCAGTGTGGACAGTGCCTGCTTCTATGTGGCCCTGCTGGGAGCCACCAGGGCCTTTTCACATGCCAGCACACTGGCCAGGTGGGAGCTGCAGAGGCCACCCCCTCTGGTGTACATCCCAGTGCCTCATCATTATTGCTAATGATGGCTGAGAATGGTTAGCCACGAGAAGCAACACGTGGGCACCGCCATGGCTCGAGACGGCTCTTCTATGAGCAGTGATGGCTCTGAAGACTGATGGGAGTGCTTCTGAGGGCACATGCAGAACCGCGCTAGCAATCCTGAGCGGTGTCAGGCTGTATATCAGAGAGGGCGAGGCTCGAGTCCCTGGGACCCAGGGGGGCTGAACCCGAGAAACCTTGTGCAACGACATTACTTTAAGACTGTCTTTACCTGCCTGTAGTTGACATGGAAATAAAGGCTTTGTGTGTTGGGATAGTGGTTCAAGATTCTGAATGTAGGCTAACAGATGAGAGGGTCAGGTGGCAGACTGAGGATCTTGCTAAGTCAGCACTCGGTGGGCCCTGGGCCTGGAGGGTGGAGTGAAATGCACAGTGAGGTAGTTGATGTCCTGTGGCTTGGAGGAGGCCGGGCTGTCAGCAGCACCACTGATTCTGTGGATCCTGGCCTATGCTGCTAGTGGAGCTGTGCTGTAGATTGATTTTCCAAATACAGAACTCTAATCCAGCCAGGGTGGTAAGGGGAGGTTAGGCCAGGAGTGCAGTTCTGAGAAGATCATGTATTGGATGACTGGACACTCTGACCCAGTAACCGGGCCTCGTGAGTGGTCTGGAGAGGGTGACTGACTTTGAGTAGGGTAGGAAGTTGTGTCTCTAGAGCCCTGACAGCAAACTTAGTTCAGCAAGACACTGACACTGTTCTCCCCTGAATGGGGGAAACTGGTAAGGGTAGCTTGGGCAGACCGGCTGTGATGTGTTCTGCAGGCAAGGATAACTCTGGCACCAGGGCAATGATTGTCACTGGAGTTGGTTTTTTTTTTTTAGAAAGCTTTCATTTAATAAATATAAATTTCATAGGTATAACTTTTAGATGATAGCAGTTTTTCCCCCCATACCCGCCCTCCCACCCCCAAACCATCCTACCTCCTACTCCCTCTCCCATCCCATTCTTCA